TTTAAACCTCGCTGGGCTCTGGATTGCGGCATTTCTCTTGCTGAATTATTTATCAGGGCTTGGAGCTGAATGGAGCCTGCTACGTTTGCCCTGCCCACGTGTCTGGCTTGAGCCATTGACAGATTTGGTTCGTGTCAAAGCAAGCCAGGCCCAGCTTGGGGAGGGGCTGGGGGCTCACAGACCCTCTGGATCTGGGGGTGTTTGATGCTGGGACAGACAGGGATCATGGCAAATGGTGGCACTCAATTTAATGCCACAGCTTTGAGTGTTGAGGTGTTGTGTTTGCAGGGAGTGCCCTAACGAAGGCAGGAATGATGTATCTGACTCTGTATTTTAGAAGGTTAATTTATTACTTTATAATGCTGTCATATATCTTTAAACACTATCATATATCATATGATATATATTAAATATCATATATCTTAAAAAATGCTATATTAAAGAATACAGAAAAAAGATACTGAACTGAAAAGATAATAATGAAAACTCGTGACTCTCTCCAAAGTGTGGACACAGCTTGGCTGGAATTGGTCAGTGAGCCAAAACAACTCACACCAGAATCCAATCAATCATTGGATTAATAATTGGATCCACATGGATCCACATGTAACAATCTCCAAACGCTTTCCACATGAGCAAAACACAGGAGAAGCAAATGAGATAAGAATTGTTTTCCTTTTCTCTGAAGCTCCTCAGCTTCCCAGGAGAGAAATCCTGGGTGAAGGGATTTTTTTTGCAGAGAACGTGAACGGCACAGGCAGGTTCCTGGCAGCTCCTGACGTGGGGTCACAGCAGGCAGCCTCTCCATCCCCAGCTCCTCCTGCAGCCCGTGTGCTCCTCCTGTCCTTGGAGGCAGATTCTGGCTGGAGCCTGCTTCCACCTGGGCATCCCAAAGAAGAGCTGAGATGCAGCTCCTTGAGGGATTTCCTCTCCCTCATCCCCGCGGGGCTGAGGCTGAGATGAGGCTGGCCCAGATTTGGGGTTTCCCCCTTTCCAAGGGGACAGGGAATTCTCTGCTCTGGATGGATGTACAGAATTCCCTTGACAAAACTCTTCCCCCTTTCCAAGGGGACAGGGAATTAATTCTCTGAGTGGATGCACAGAATTCCCTTGGCAAAGCTCTTCCCCCTTTCCAAGGGGACAGGGAATTCTGTTTTTTGGATGGATGCACAGAATTCCCTTGGCAAAGCTCTTCCCCCTTTCCAAGGGGACAGGGAATTCTCTGCTCTGGATGGATGTACAGAATTCCCTTGACAAAACTCTTCTCCCTTTCCAAGAGGACAGGGAATTCTCTGAGTGGATGCATGGAATTCCCTTGACAAAGCTCTTCCCCCTTTCCAAGGGCACAGGGAATTCTCTGCTCTGGATGGATGTACAGAATTCCCTTGGCAAAGCTCTTCCCCCTTTCCAAGGGCACAGGGAATTCTCTGCTCTGGATGGATGTACAGAATTCCCTTGGCAAAGCTCTTCCCCCTTTCCAAGGGCACAGGGAATTCTCTGCTCTGGATGGATGTACAGAATTCCCTTGGCAAAGCTCTTCCCCCTTTCCAAGGGCACAGGGAATTCTCTGCTCTGGATGGATGTACAGAATTCCCTTGGCAAAGCTCTTCCCCCTTTCCAAGGGCACAGGGAATTCTCTGCTCTGGATGGATGTACAGAATTCCCTTGGCAAAGCTCTTCCCCCTTTCCAAGGGCACAGGGAATTCTCTGCTCTGGATGGATGTACAGAATTCCCTTGGCAAAGCTCTTCCCCCTTTCCAGGCTGTCTGTCCCTGGGAGGTCACAGGTTCTGACTTGTCCCTCTTTCAGGGGAATTTATCCATCTAATTACCACGTGTCATGGTTTGATGCTGGCACAATGCCAGTGCCCCCATGAAAATATATTCTCCTCAGTGGCTGCTGTGAATGTGACCAGAAATAGAGGCTCCAGCTTAGGAATAAAAGAAAAAAACCTTTATTATATGTAAAAAGGAACACACACAGAACTCAGAATGAAAACCTGACCTCTTTCACAGACTGGAACCAAGAGTTCTCTGCTTTTTAACCCCTGTGTTCTCAGAGGTGCATCCATGTCTTCAGTGGCCAAAATTAAAATCTGAGCACTAATTGGTTTGACCACAACTTCCCAAAAAACTCCTTTCCTTATCAAGCCAGAGCACTGTCTCCTCTCCGTGGGAGCTGGGCTGGCAGAGCCTGGCCTCATCCACACGTCTGCCAGGGAAGGAGGGAATGTTTTCTTGCTTTTCCCTTTGTTTCCTCCTCGCTGGGAGTGTTGGGCACCAGCAGCTTCCCTGGCAGCCAGGAGCACCAGCCCTACCTGGAGCTGCTGCATCCTCCCTGGCCTTGCTTTCCCTGACCCACTTCCAGAGCTGAGGGCTCTCAGGCTGAGGCAGGAACTGCACTGTGGGGCTGGTTCTCTCTTCATCCTCCTCCTCCTCATCCTCCTCCCACCTAGATCTGCTGTTCGCCATGCAGGAGAGGGATGCAGCTCAGGAAATCCTCTTGCACACCCTGTGCTCCATGAGGAGGAAACGCTGCTGGCTCACAGGGATGGACAGGGATTTTGGGAAGAGCTGGCTGAGCCTGCAGGAGGCTGCACCGGTGCTGTCTGGGGCAGCTGCTCCTGTCCTGAGGCTTTCACGTTCCAAAATCTGTGATCCACCTGCCTGAGTGCCAGAGATCAGGTCTGCAGGCTCTCATGGAGCTGCTTTTCCTCCTGTATTTACAGACAGTGGGGCCTTGACAGTGGGGCTGACGCTGAGGGGTTTTCTTTGAGAAATGTAGATCTGGAGGAAAGGGAGAGCAGCATTCTGAGTTTTCTCAGGTCTGCAGGCTCTCATGGAGCTGCTTTTCCTCCTGTATTTACAGACAGTGGGGCCTCGACAGAAGGGCTGAAATTGAGGGGTTTTCTCTGAAAAATGGAGATCTGGAGGAAGGGGAGAGCAGCATTCTGAGTTTTCTCAGGTCTGCAGGCTCTCATGGAGCTGCTTTTCCTCCTTTATTTACAGACAGTGTGGCCTTGACAGTGGGGCTGAAGCTGAGGGGTTTTCTTTGAGAAATGGAGATCTGGAGGAAGGGGGGAGCAGCATTCTGAGTTTTCTCCTTGCACAGCCACTGCAGGGCTCCAGCACCATCCTTGGTGATCCTGAGGCTGCCTCTGACCACGGGAGGTTCTTTAGCTTTATTTTGCTAAAGAACCTCCTAAAGCTAAAGCTTCACTGGGTTTGGGGGAATTTGAATTGAATTTGGGGGAATTTGAAGGGTCTTGCCCTGGGAATGCTTCCTCTTTCTGTCACTTCTTCATTTGGAAAACATCTCCTGGAGCTGCCTCAGAGCTCTGAACTCCAGGTTTCACACTCCAGGGGCCAATTCCAGGGTGCCAGGAATAACCAACCCCAAAGAGATGGATTAAAAAGAGGTAAAAGCTGGTGCTGAGGGCCCTGGTCCTCCTTAGACTGAGCTCAGCTGGAGCCTCTCATCCTTCTTAGCCTGAGCTCAGCTGAGGGATCACTGATCCCAATCCCTGGCCCTGGAATATTCTGAGTGGGAAGGGATCCTGAGGGATCATTGATCCCAATCCCTGGCCCTGGAATATTCTGAGTTGGAAGGGATCCTGAGGGATCATTGATCCCAATCCCTGGCCCTGGAATATTCTGAGTTGGAAGGGATCCTGAGGGATCATTGATCCCAATCCCTGGCCCTGGAATATTCTGAGTTGGAAAGGATCCTGAGGGATTATTGATCCCAATCTCTGGCTCTGGAATACTGAATTTGAAGGGATCCTAAGGGATCATTGATCCCAATCCCTGGTCCTGGAATATTCTGAGTTGGAAGGGATCCTGAGGGATCATTGATCTCAGCTCTTGGCCCTGGAATATTCTGAGTGGGAAGGGATCCTGAGGGATCATTGATCCCAATCCCTGGCCCTGGAATATTGAGTTGGAAGGGATCCTGAGGGATCATTGATCCCAATCCCTGGTCCTGGAATATTCTGAGTTGGAAGGGATCCTGAGGGATCATTGATCCCAATCCCTGGCCCTGGAATATTCTGAGTTGGAAGGGATCCTGAGGGATCATTGATCCCATTTCCTGGACCTGCAATATTCTGAGTTGGAAGGGATCCTGAGGGATCTTTGATCCCATTTCCTGGACCTGCACAGACACCCCAAAATCCCACCCTGGGCATCCCTGGCAGTGCTGTCCAAACTCCTGGAGCTCTGGCAGCCTCGGGGCTGTGCCCATTCCCTGGGCAGCCTGGGCAGTGCCAGCACCCTCTGGGGGAAGAACCTTCCCCTGTTTTCCTGGGATTCAGCTCCAGCCATTCCTGGGGTCCTGTCCCTGGTCACAGGGAGCAGAAATCAGAGCTGCTCCTCATGTGAAGCTGCAGCCTTGAGGAGTCTCCAGCCGAACAAGCAGAGTGCCCTCAGCTGCTCCTTGTGGGACTCCTCCAGACCTTTCCCCATTCCTGTGCCCCTCCTTGGAACATTCTCCAGACCTTTTTCACGTTTTGATGCCCAAACTGCCCCCAGGTCTGGAGGTGAGCCCAGAGCAGAGTGGGACAATGCCCTCCCTGACTGTGCAGGGATGAGAGGAGCTGCTGACCCCCTGGGTCCTCTCCATGTCCCCATCCAGCAGGACCCCAGACCTTTCCCGTGTGCCTCCAGGGCTGCATGTGCTGCGTCTTTAACGGCGCGGAGGCAGCTCCATTGAAGATTTGCAGGAGAGGAGAGCAGGAGGGGGGTGTGGATGTGGCTATTGGCAGAGCTGTGCTGACATCCCTGGGAACAGCTGGGATCTGCTGAGCCGCTTGTCAGAGCCCCGAGCAGCCGCAAAAATCGCCAGGTTTTTTTTTTATTTTTGGTTTTTTATTCGGGAGAGCTGGCGGGGGCTTCCCGGGAGCGAGATTATCCTGGCAGAATTCCTCTTGAACTGCTCGTGGCCATGGAGTCTCCACTGAAATCAGCAAACAGCTGACGTGCTCAGAGTGCAGAACCACCACGGTGAGTTTATTTTTAGAAGGAGGTTTTAATTATTTGAGGAAAAGAAACATTGGTCAGACTTTTCTTTTCCCCCCCCCTCCCCTGTGCAAAATGCGGCGTAAAATGTGAATATTTCAGGGATGGGGAGCTGGCAGTGTCCCTCTCCCCTTGCTAAGAGCCAGGATTCCTGCTGCTGGATGGGGCTTCATTTAAAACAGAGCTGGACTAAATAAATATGTGGCTCTGGGGTGCCAGTGAGGATTTGGGAGGGTGAAATGAGCTCTCCTCTTCCTCCTTTTGTGCTGCCTACGGAGAGAGGGAATCCCCGGGCGGCATCCTGTGCTCTGCCATGTCATTAAGGAGTTCCCCTGACAGCATCATGGAATCTCCTTGTGCTCTGTCTGCAGCTTGCTCCCGGGTACTTCCCCTTGTTTTTCAGGGTCAGCACCTTCCCAGCTCTTTTGCTGGTTAATATTTTAGTGGATTTATTTCTTTGGAGCTGGCTAGTTGATGGGGAATGTTGGCGACTCGGTTGGCATCGTGCCATGTGACGTTTTTGGGGTGGCTTATGCAATTTGGTGTTCTGTAGGATGGTGCTTGTGTTCACTGGTACATTAACCTCGTTTTTAAATTAATTTAAACCCCTCACTGAGTTGGATTTAGTGGAATAAGGAGCTTGGATTGAGTTTTCCCCCTCCTCACACATCGTCCAGTTTTGTCTAACACCCAAGAAGTTATGCTCTCTTCATCCCAGATTTAGTGCTGGGAACTGGGTTTTTTTGGGATTAAAGTGTGGTTATTGTACTTTGGGATCTCAGGATCTCTCTACCTGCTCCTCAGACTTCACACTCAATCCCCACTTTTTCTGGCAGCCGACAAAAAAAGTTGAGTTTTTTATTTGAATCGTTATTTCCCCATTTTTTTTTCTGTGTTCACATCCATTTCTGGGTCCCACCTGGAGAGCACCCAGTGTCTGCCATGGGATGAGTGGCTCTGTGTCCTCTGCCAGCGTGGGGAAAAGCAGGAGGAGGGATCCAGACAACCTTCCTGCCCTGTGCCCTCCTGCTCTGGGGGTTTTCTGGGACCTGGGATGCTTTGGGGCTGCTGAACAAACTTTGGGGATGTGCTTTGCCAGCTGGGGAAGGGAATTCCTTGTTCCCTCATCCAGATTTTTATTTAATGCTGCTGCTCCTGCCTGGCACAGGCTGAGCTCAGGAGCAGGTGCCAGCAGGAGAAGAGTTTTCCTTGTTTTCCTGCTTGGTTTTACTTGTTTTCCTGCTTGGTTTTCCTTGTTTTCCTGGTTGGTTTTCCATGTTTTCCTGCTTGGTTTTCCCTGTTTTTCTGGTTGGTTTTTCATTTTTTCCTGCTTGGTTTTCCCTGTTTTTCTGGTTGGTTTTCCTGGTTGGTTTTTCTTGTTTTCCTGCTTGATTTTCCCTGTTTTTCTGGTTGGTTTTCCTGCTTGGTTTTCCTTGTTTTCCTGGTTGGTTTTCCATGTTTTCCTGCTTGGTTTTCCCTGTTTTTCTGGTTGGTTTTCCTGCTTGGTTTTCCTTGTTTTCCTGCTTGGTTTTCCTTGTTTTCCTAGTTGGTTTTCCCTGTTTTTCTGGTTGGTTTTCCTGGTTGGTTTTTCATGTTTTCCTGCTTGATTTTCCCTGTTTTTCTGGTTGGTTTTCCTGCTTGGTTTTCCTTGTTTTCCTGCTTGGTTTTCCCTCTTTTTATGGTTGGTTTTCCTGGTTGGTTTTTCATTTTTTCCTGCTTGATTTTCCCTGTTTTTCTGGTTGGTTTTCCTGCTTGGTTTTCCTTGTTTTCCTGCTTGGTTTTCCCTGTTTTCCTGCTTGGTTTTCCCTGTTTTTCTGGTTGGTTTTCCTGCTTGGTTTTCCTTGTTTTCCTAGTTGGTTTTCCATGTTTTCCTGCTTGATTTTCCCTGTTTTTCTGGTTGGTTTTCCCTGTTTTTCTGGTTGGTTTTCCTGTTTTGTTTTCCTTGTTTTCCTAGTTGATTTTCCTTGTTTCCCTGCTTGGTATCTCTGTTGCAGATGTAACCAATTCTGCTCAGGACTCTCTAAAAAAAACCAGCAGCTGAACCAGGGATTTCTGCTGAGCCAAGGAAGGGTTAACAGAATTCCCTGCTCAGTGCTGTCCTGTTGCATCCTGACACTGTGGAAAGTAGGTGGATAATTCCTTGCTTTTCAGGAAACCCCTGTGGTGGACAGCCCTCATTAATTGTTGCTGGGAAACTGCTTTGACGTCAGGGCAGCAGTTCCCTGCTCTGGGGATGAATACAGGAATAGCTCGTGGTGAGGAAGTGGGAAGTGCTGTGAAATGGAGCAGGGAGCTCTGACAGGGAATTCTCAGCCTGCATTTCTTTCCTCCCTGCCAGAGTTCTGCCCAGGAAGCCTCAGGAACTGTCCACAAACCTTTGGTGCTGCATTGGGAGCAGCAATTCCTGCTCAGGGAGCCCTTGGTTCTGATCATCCTCCACTTTGCTGACTCTTTTGGGGTTGGGTTTTTTTGATGTTGAGTCTGGGTTTTTTCCTCCCTCAGATTTTGGAAAGGAGGGGTGAGAAGGTGATTGCTCAGCCTAAAGCAGCTCCCAAAAATGAAAGGAGAAGGGAGCAGCAGGATCCCTTCCTGTTCTTCCTGTTTCCTTTCCTGTTTCCTCCCTGTTTTCTCCCTGTTTCCTCCTGTTTAATTTCCTATTTCCTTTCCTGTGTCCTCCTCTTTCCGTTCCTGTTTCCTTCTTTCCTGTTTCCCCCTGTTTAATTTCCTGTTTAATTTCCTGTTTCCTTTCCTGTTTCCTCCCTGTTTTTTCCGTTTCCTCCTGTTTAATTTCCTATTTCCTTTCCTGTTTCCTCCTCTTTCCTTTCCTGTTTCCTTCTGTTTCCTCCCTCTTCTCTTCCCTGTTTCCTTCCCTGTTTCCTTTCCTGTTTCCTTCCCTGTTTCCTCCCTGTTTCCTTTTCTGTTTTCTTTCCTGTTTCCTCCTGTTTAATTTCCTGTTTCCTTTTCTGTTTCCTCCCTCTTTTCTTTCCTGTTTCCCCCTGTTTCCTTTTCTATTCTCTTCCCTGTTTCCTTCCCTGTTTCCTTCCTGCTTTCCTCCCTGTTTCCTTTTCTGTTTTCTTTCCTGTTTCCTCCTGTTTAATTTCCTATATCCTTTCCTGTTTCCTCCTCTTTCCTTTCCTGTTTCCTCCTGTTTAATTTCCTGTTTCCTTTCCTGTTTAATTTCCTGTTTCCTCCTCTTTCCTTCCCTGTTTCATTTTCTATTTCCTCCCTGTTTCCTTTCCTGTTTCCTCCCTGTTTTCTTCCCTGTTTCATTTTCTATTTCCTCCCTATTTCCTTTCCTCTTTCCCCCCTGTTTTCTCCATTTCCTCCTGTTTAATTTCCTATATCCTTTCCTGTTTCCTCCTCTTTCCTTTCCTATTTCCTCCCTCTTTCCTTTCCTGTTTCCTTCCCTGTTTCCTTTTCTGTTTTCTTTCCTGTTTCCTCCTGTTTAATTTCCTGTTTCCTTTCCTGTTTCCTTTCCTATTTCCTCCCTGTTTCCTTTTCTATTTCCTCCCTGTTTCCTTTCCTGTTTCCTCCCTGTTTCCTCCCTGTTTCCTCCCAGTTTCCTTTTCTATTTCCTCCCCGTTTCCTTTCTTTTGAACACCAAACCAATAATGTCCCTTTTCCTACAAGAGGGAAGAACAGGACTGAGAGTGGCCCTTGTTGCTCCAGGCTTGGACAACTTGAAATTGAAACTGTTTAATCCCATTTTTCATGGGGAAATGTTCCTTAGGCCTGTTTAACTCCTCTGCAGTTGGTTCCTGTCTCCCAGTGTCAACCTGTGAGATGTGGCATGGAATAATTGTAGCAGGAATTCTCATGTGTTTCCTTTTCCACACTTGGAAATCAGATTTAAGCAAAGTTTTCCCATCCAGGTCAGAATATTTATGAGATTTTTGTACCCAGAAATGTTGGAGGGCTGCAGAGATCAGCTGGGGCTCAGGTGGGACATGAGAGGGCTTGAAAGGGGAGGAAGGTGAAAGAAAGGATCTGAAAATGGAATCATGGAATGCTTTGGGTGGGAAGGGACCTTAAAACTCATCTCATTCCACCCCCTTGGTGTGGAGGGAAACCTCCCACTAATCCTGGCCTTGGGCACTTCCAGGGATCCAGGGGCAGCCCCAGCTTCTCTGGGCTGTGCCAGGGTCTCCCCACCCTCACAGGGAGGAATTTCTTCCTAAAAGAAGAAAATCAGTCTTTATAAAAGTTTTATCCCCCTCTGTGTGATTCCTGGGTATGGCATGGAAATTATTTTGGCAGTCCCAGTCACACTCCTGGAACAGAGTGAGAACAAGTTGACACCTCTGCTGAGGTGGAGGGAGGGAGGTGACAAAATTCCAGAGGATTTTATTCCCCCTGAAGGGATTTGAGATGTTTCCCACAAGGAAACCTCCTGATTCTCCACGATTCCCTCCGACTCTGCTGCGTTTCCTGTCTCCTTGCCCATAAAAAGTTCTTTCCCCCCTTTTCACCTGGAGTGCAGCCTTGCATGTGCATCATCATTTGGGGTTTGATGTCGTGTGGGGGTGGAGATGAGGATTGGGGCCGTGACTAAGCACGGGGCTGCAGGCACACACCTCCTGGGGGGAGTCTTGCTGGGTTTAGGAGCTCTCGGGGAGGGAGGAATTCCATCCCTCTGCAGCTGACAGCAAGGAGAGAATTCGGGAGGGTTGGGGTTTTGGGGTGCTTGTCCTGCTGGGAGCTGTTTGCTGGCTGCGAGGGGAGGGAGGGGAGGGAGCTCCAAATGATTTTATCTGTCAGAATTCCAGCTGAGCCTGCAGTGCTTTCTGTTGTGGTGGTTGTTTGGGAGGCTCTCAGGAGCAGGGAAGAGATGAATCTGACTCCATCTTTCTGATATATATTATAATATCTGATAAATATTATAATATCATATTACATTCCATTATATATATAATATTATTTATATGAAATTCATTAAATATATTATATTTCACATATTATATTCAATATATTATATTTCACATATT